CTCTGCCATACATTATGAACGCAGCCTAAAGACAGCGCCTTTAACCAGGTCTGATTATTTTCATAATTTTAAGTTTATTCTCAATCGATTTTATATTCTTCCAAGACCTTGAATATGAGGCTAATAGAGTAATAGATAATATTTTTCAACATCTCCCTTGTTTCTTGCACTTCTGTTCAAGTCCTTCATTTTTTGTATTCAAAGACTACGTACCAACGTTACTATATTTTCAATATAAACTTGCATAATTTATCTCACTAAATACTGGTCGTTATAAATGTTTTATGTTTGTAGGATCAACTGTCGTATTGAAGTCGTAATTGAATAGAGGACAGGACTGTTTCGAATGGACTTCCAAAGACGCTCAATTCGTCCCCCATGTTACCGGTCTCTTTACTTGTTATGTCTAAAAAAATACTCAGAATCTAATATAACTTTTGATAAATCAACATGCTTTGACTTTGGCCTGCAGGAAGAATTTCCAGATCCGTATAAACAAATCTGCAGTTTCAGAAATAGGAGAGAAAACAACATCTGTTTTCCTTTTTTCTTTTTTAAATAACAAAAAGAACCAATGAAAAAGAAATCAAGAAATTTGAAAGAAAATAATTGGAATTTAGCTGTTATTTTGGTTGTAAAAGATGATTACTTTTGATTTGCTAGAGAAAGTGACCATGCATCATCAAAGACGTGAAGTTTTTCTGTCATACGACAGCATCAAGCTTGCTTTCCTCTCTGACGTCACTCATTTTTCGTCCAATCAACGCCAAGTTATTTTTACTGTTTTTTGACTATTTATACCTATAGAATCCCAAAAAGTCTTTCATTCATAATCAACTCTACTTAGGAAGAAATATTTGCATTTTGGGTTGAAGTAATAACGTTCTCTGGAAGAAACGAGCAGTCGACAAAAGGTAAAATAGGCTAACCATATTTTTTTCTTTACTTCAAATTAAGTTAATCTAAAAAGACTCTATAGAAGAATTCACACCACGAATTCACATTCGCAAAGTGTGTTTCACAGTCAAAAATGCGTTTTCGTCCCTTATTATTTCTTTCTTTTTCTTTTTCTTTTTGCTTGTTCAGTAGAGTATAGTATTCCATAATTTAAATTTTGAATAAATCAATCCAATCTAGCTAACCCAGGATAATTTCATATCCAACATTCTCCTTCAAATCTTCTTCTTCTTCTTCTTTTTACTGGCCGGTGAAATTTGTACCAAATATAAGTTATTTATTCTCTTTCAAAAGTTAAATTCCATCTCGAATTGAGATTTAGCATCTTAAAACGAACTTGCAGTACATTTAGATCGTTACTAAATCTAACTAAACATTTAAAAAAATTAAAGCTCTATTTTTAATACTGCAAAAAGTCTAGTCAAAAAAACCCATACGGTGTCAAGGATTTTGAGTACACCAAGAATAACACCACGAAAATGTTTTTGAAATTCGATGATAATATTCAAAAAAGGCTGGCTTTTCGTAAATAACATAAAGCTTCTGTAATATATAAATATTTATAGCGGTATCCCAGTTGCTATTAATTAGCTTTTTAGCTTGAGATGACACAGATGTCCATAGTAATCGATGTGACCGACCTTGTTTTCTCTATAATTTTTAATGCTCGATTGTACGTCAAGGAACCTCTTTTCCCCCACAATATTCAAATAATTTCAATGGTGAAAAAAGCTGAAATGACCACTTTTAAATCAATATTGTCGCGCATGGTATCATGGCCTAGAAATTTCATTAAAATGGTTTTCTCTGACGACTGTTTTCTTTCTTGGAAAAGGAAACTAAAAACTGAAATAAAACAACCATGAAAAAACCAAATTTATTTAGACCCCAAAATTCGGGTTTAAATTTAACTTTATTACCGTGATGTCAGCACTCAAATGGCTTCCACTCTAAACCGATCAAAGACCACGAAAACGTTCAAAAACACACCCCAAAAATAGCTCCATTTTTCCCCATCTCAAACGAGTGCTCGAAGCATACTGTATATCACGGGGGGGTTTGTAATCAAAAAGGTCCAATCTTTCAAGATTTCTACTTGAAGTTTTTTTTTTTTTTTTTTTTTTTTTTTTAATTATATCATTCAGTCTTCCAAAATTATAAACGTCTGAACCTGCGTCTTTGACATTGAGTTACGAGAGATGTTAATAAACTGAATAATACTGACACCAGCTGTCCATGACTGTGTTGGGAGAGTGACCATGGATCTTAATATTAATGACTGGAAATACTTTGTTAGAATAGGTTGCATTAAGGCCCTATTTATACCTGGAACTGAGCAGACCATATGTTATATGAAATAATAATACTTAAAATCAACTTATTGTTCTTTTAAAATATTATTTTGATTTTACATACTATTTTTGTCTACGAACTGAGAAAGCCTTTTTCTTCGCCACAGAAGGCTGCATAGATGTAATAGATTTATAAATTTACTATTGGAAAGGCTCTATTTTATCCTGGAAGCAGACCATACTTCGAAAAAATAAGTTAATTAAAATTATTAAAAAAAAAAAAAAAAACTTAAAAAGAAAATATTATATCCATTTTACAGTTCTTTTTGTTTACAAAAGCCTTTTTCTGTGCCACAGAAGGATACACAGATGTTTGACCTGTTTGAATTCACAATTGAAATATAAAAGAGCGCCAAAGTCAGTCGCTGTATATTGAAATAAATCGAGATGTGAAGAAAAAAACGTACAATATAATAACGACGTAGGATTATAGACAGACTATATGTTGGTCTAATTACCTCAAGATTAGGTCATATATGTTCAATTTCCTCTTCCTCGTCTATTTCTTATCATTGTTATTATTAGCATCTGCATCATTGGTACTATTTTTATCATCTTCAACACTACCATCGATCGTGATCAATACAATCGTCATAATGCATACAGATTATATTTTGGTCTAATTACCTCAAGATTAATTAGTTTATATTTGTTCAACTTCCACTTCCTCGCTTCTCCTTTAAATTTTCTGTTATCGATATCATTGTTACTATTAGCATCTGCATCATAGCTACTATTATTTTTATCGTCAACAAATAGACATCAGTTTTTTATGTGTCTAGCCTGTCCTCTTATTGACGATAAATTGCGTCATCACATTGTCAAAGTAGTATGGATAAAAATATAACCAATCAGCGCGCGAGAAATTTGTAAGTTATCGTCAACACTATCATCCATCATTATCAATACTAAAACCATTATCATAATTCATGACCCGCACCATTTCTACACAGCTATCCCAAGAGGGTTGGCGAAGGTTTTGGTTGCATGTTGCCTACAAGCCCGAACTGCACCATGGGCAATGTGATCAATAAGCGCTTGTGTGCACCTGTAATCTCCTATTAGAATTAGTACTTATTCATTGTTGACAACTTCGTTCTCTGGTGGACTTTATTAATTTATTAGAAATTCTACACAGTTTCAAAATCAATATCGCTTTGTGGAAAAAAGCCTTTTAACTGAAAATGTTTGAATATTTAAATTAAAAATGTGTATCAGTTTTTATTCATGAAGTCCAAGAACAGTTTTAAAATAACTTCTATCTCTCGTTATGTTCGCCATTAGTGAAGAGTTGTTTTTTTATATTTTAGCGTCGAATTCAAAACAAGTGAGCCATAAAACCCCGATTGCGCATGCGCATATAACCAGCCCGTCAACCATTACATTGATTTACAGCCGCATGGATGAAATATTTAGAACGAAATAATGTTTAAAGACATATACGAATTCGAATTATGAAACTTTCGTATGCCTGCTCGAGGGCTTGGCAATAAAATAATCCAAATTAAGACGGATACATGATGCATTTTGTTGTGGTTCAATCTAAAAGCTCTTAAATCGCAGAGGAAGAAAAAAATATTGTTCCGGAAACGCCTCCACTTTCTCGTTACTTAAGGATAGACCTTCTGGGTACTGCCATTAAGCTCTTGACTCTTTATTAAGGTTATTTACTTTAAAGAAAAAACGTTTTTTCATCCATATATGGTCCCAATTACGTGCAAACGGGTCGATCGTCTTATTGATTATTCATCAGTTGTTAATATCTATATATCATTCATACTTTATTTTTATTTATGCTAGATTTTGAAAGTGCTTTTCAGGAAAGAAGAGGCAAGAAAAATACTGCGCAATGGATTCCAACATGACAACAGGTTTGTAGCAACAAGATACACAATGAAAAACCGGACGATCAAAAAAAAAACATGAATTCTACGGATACATCCATAGCAACAGCAACAATGTTCACGATAACAACGACAAGAGTGACAAAACAGTAGCAGGAATATCAACAATAGCAACAACAGCAGCAGCAGCGACAACAGAAACAACAAAACGAGAGCAACAACAACGGCAGCAACAAGACAACATCGACGATATTAAAATTCTGACTTTACGATTATTAATCAAGAAAATATTATCTTAAATTAATTTAAAACTTATCATTCTATTTTATTTTTTTTTAAATTTTTTTACTTCCTTTTCCCTTAACCTTGAAAATGTAAAATACTTTTTCCCATTTTTTCTCCAGTCGTCCCGAGCAACATGACGTCTCGTGCGTCGTCTGTGTCACCATTCACTCTAGACTTCCAAATCGGGCTGTCAGTCTTTGCAGCCCTTCTATTCGTGTTATCACTGGTTTGTAACACTGTAGTCATATACATCGTGTGCACGAGAAGCCACATGAGGAACTCCACCAACATCCTAATAGCAAACATGGCGGTCGGAGACCTCTTGTTAACTGTTGCTATACCTTATATTGTAAAGTGGATGTATGTTGGAAGTACATGGTTTAGTGATGACTTCTTCGGTGTGTTTTTGTGCAAGTTTCTTAATTCAGCACAGATTGGTTCGATTACCTGTTCGGTTTTTACCCTTGTCACTATCAGCATTGACCGTTGTTTGGCCATAACGTATCCTCTTAAGCACGTGTTTAGTGATAAAGTCCTCAAGTTATCTATCGCTGGGATTTGGATCTCGGCGGTTGGCATGAGTGTCCCGATGATTATAGTGGTTCAAGTTAAAGAAACAGAAAATGGAAACTACATTTGTATCGAATCTTGGGGGAAATTTTCAGGGCTGGATGAGGAGAAGTACATCTTAACATTCTCGACATGTACCTACTTCGTTCCTCTTGTACTGATCGCCATTGCGTATACTATCACTGGCATTCGACTGTGGAAAAGAAAGCTACCCGGAAACCAAAATCTTCTCGCCCAACAAAAAATCCATGCAGCCAGTAAAAAAGCCACTATAATGCTCATAACTGTCGTACTGGTATTTGCACTTTGTTGGCTTCCCTTGCAAATTCGCGAAGTTTTGAAATTCTATGAACATTTGCAAATCCCAAGCAAACTCGACATTGTTTTACCATGGGTCGGGTTATCTAACATAGCTATTAACCCATTTTTATACGTTATATTCTCGGAAAACTACCGAACCGAGTTTTTGGAAATTCTATGTTGTCACCATTCGCAAAAAATGGATGTTTACCATGGTCTACTGAGCGTTCCCGAAAGAACTACTCCGTTGGGAACTCCGATGTTAAGCCGACGTAGTACCCAACGAATAAGCTTGAGCCCGAACAATGATCGACGCCAACTGTCGCTCTCAAACCATTCACTTCAGATGAAAAAACTTAATGGTAAATGATGAAAGGAGTTAAAAGAAATGATGATAATAGTAGTAAAAATGTAACATATTTTAACCAATAATCACACTGGGAAGATAAAACTGACTTCAGCTTAGCTTCGGCCTTATTTTGAGAATTGATTTCGGTGTGTTCAATGCTAAAAGAGAACGAAAGTAGCTCAGTCGAAAGTGGAAGGAAGACAAATGAAGCGCAAAAAGACAACTAAAAGAATTAGTAGCTAATTAGTGGGAAAAAACTCAAGAAGGAACTGGAAAGAAGAGAAGGAGAGCTGAGGAAGAAGAAAATGAAGGAAAAGGATAAAAAAAAGCCGTCGATTTTGTGTCTAAAACAGCTGGTTAGGATAAACATCAAATAATTGATTGATATCCTACAAATCTGTGAAAAATTTACTTTGTAATGGAATTTTGTCTGTCATGCACTAGACTGCTATTGAAAACACTCCGCCATTCATTAAGAATTGATAAGTGTCTTATGAAAAGGCTTATGTCTACACAAAACGTCATAATACCAGAAGTTTAAGGCCAAAAGAATATTAAGCGCATATTCTTTTGTTAAAACATTTAAGGGAGATCAAGGATAATGATGAATAAAAGGTATGAAAAGATTAACGAATGAAAATGGATAATATTAAACATTTTTCAAAGGCAAACCAAAATAATACGTGTCATCCTAATTTCAAGTAATTTTCAAGTAAAAACCCTTCTCCATTCAAGTTTTTAGCAGTTTCTAGCAGTTTCCTGGATTAAATGTAATGTATATAGTTCGTTGTTCTAATAATATCTGGCTCGTTAGACACTTGTAGGGTGAGGTTATAATTAAAGTGCACATGAACCCTTCGACAATACTTTCAGTACTGATTCTACACGAAGTAAATAGTTGAATGGTAAAATATTTCTTGATTTGAGTGATGCGTTTCTAAGTTATGAAGGTTTATACTTCCAATATGCTAATGAGTGTGACGTCTATTAAGGCTTAATCAAATATACAAAATCGAACTGGTTCATAGAAACAGTATTTAAAAAGCATCATTATTTTACTCATGGTTTACATGAAAGCTATTTACAATTTTTATTTTCAAAATGGCCAGCATTTAGTATTACTAGTTACAACAAAAACACTCAAATACCTTACCTGACGTCATCATCATTAACATATTGGAAGTATAAACCTTCATAACTTAAAGACGCATCACTCAAATCAAGAAATATTTTACCAATCAACTATTTACTTTATGCAGAATCAGTACTGAAAGTATTGTCGAAGGGTTCATGTGCACTTTAAGAACATGCGTAATAAGTAAATTACGAGCCTTGTAATAATTAAGGATTATTTCCTATACTTCAAAGTTAGGATTTTGAGATGCTAGAATGAAGGAAATCCATTGGGTGTATATCTTTCCAATTCAGACCACGTGTCATTCCCTAGAGTATCATTTCTTTGTTTAACAGTTACAACGTGAACATCATCAAAACTAAGGAGAAAAATTAAAGGAAAAAATAAATATACTTGAAATGGCTGTACCAGCAGTGCCAGTAAAATGTAAACAAATAATAATTAAAGGCAAAGCAAAAAAAAAAAAAAAAAAAAAAAAAAAAAAAAAAAAAATACCTTATTATAGGAAATTAACGCTGCACCCATTTAACGCGAATTTCAAAAATTCGCGTTAATTTAGATCGCGATAATTTCCTTTAAACGTTAATTAAAACATAATTAATAAAGTTGGATGTTAACTTAAATAACACTATTTTAAATTTTTATCCAAAACTCAACAATCTGATTAAATGATGTCAAACGACCCGCAAATTACAATGCATCCTCCGGGTCTATCTCATTGTGCCAGTACCATTCCTTTACTTGGTCCCTACGTTTAGAGGATATTTACTGACTTTAGGTTATACCTTATCACGTTAGCCGTATGTTATGCCACGTCAAACACTGACTTTGCAGCTGTTAATGAAGTTTGGTTTTGATTTGTTGTTTGGCTCGATCGCGTTAATTTCCCTCTTTTAAATATCGTTAGCCCTTTTTCGCGTTAATTTCCTTCATTCAAGAGCATTTTCCCCTCTGAATTGCGTTAATTTAAATCGCATGAATTTAAATTATGTTAATATGTCCAAGCTTGAATTTCCTAAAATAAGGTAAGATAAAACAATAGTTTAAACTCTAAATATTTGAATTAGTTGGCGCGAATAGCAATCATAGCGACATGGGTTGTCAATCATTTAAATCCCAATCATCTGATTGGTCAGCTGATATCAGAAGCCATTTGGATGAAAAATAAGGTTCGTGTGCCTTTGCAAGAGCAACCTCGAAAATTGCATATCTTTCTACAGAAAAGCGAATTTTTATCATTTCTGCGTCTCAAGAAGTTGTATTAAGAGCCATGGATATGAATTTGAAAGGTTAAACTTTATAGTCTACAGCTTCAGGTAAGAAATAGTTCGACATTTGGGCAAGAATTCAACACTTAGCTTCTCGACTTTTAAACATGAGTTTGAAATTTTATTTTCGTTTTTCTAGGCTCTCTAAGATTTCCGCAAAAGCTCAGTTTTTACTCTGACATCATTATTTTCTCCTCTGAACTAGTCTATACTTTGTTTTCTCAAGCAAAACTTACTAACTGAGAAGCGAGGACAATCAACTGAGTCGACCAATACTGGATGATTGAGGCAAATTTTTTGTTCCAAAACTTTCCTTATTACTTTCAACTCGCTTATGTCAGCATTAAACAACTATTAATGTGTGTAAGTATCTTTTTACTCTTTACTTTCATGTACTTTAGCTTCCTATAAAATGCCAAGAGACTGTGCTAGGACTACAGTTTAGGAAAAAAAATGTAAGTCGTGTCGAACGTGGTAGTCTTGTCCTCCTTCGTATCGTACTTCACCCTGAGGCAAAATCTTTTTTAACCTTTAGTCTTATAGTTTATTTATATCATTTATTTATATTATACAAGTCGAGACAATACGGTAGCCAATTTAGATAATATCTATTCAATATAGAGTATAAATTCCTTGATTTGAAAGGCTGTCGTTGGATATTTCTCAGATGAATTTCCGTTTATACTTTGATCATCGATGCTATATCAGAGACATAAAATACTAGACAATCTTACTTTTTTAATCTTTGTTGATTATTTATGAAGATTATTCTTTGTTGATTGATTATTTATTACGGTTTTACTCTCTTGATAACGGATACTGCTCTTTAAGACCGTGTAATGGCAAGTATTATTATCCGACACCGAAGCAAGAGACAATGAAGGTCTCTTGTCGGGAGTCAATCCGTCTAGTTCGCAATCAAATGTCAAGGATTTGGCTATTTAGATCCATAGGCTGCTAATTTTTATTTTTACGACATGTATAAACTTTCTAATCCTTGAATTATTTAACGTTTTTTTTTATATTTTCAATCGTTAAAGAGTCATTCGTGAAGACTGTGCTCACGTTATTTCATTTCATTCTATGCTATTCCATTCTGTTACATTCACAATTCCGTTTCATTCTTGTTTCTTTTCCATTCTTCTCTCATATCCTTATTCCTTAGTTCTCTTCTTTCCCATCCCATCCCTATCCCAGCCCAGTCTTATCCTATTCTATCTATTTCATTTCTATTCTATCTTTTCCTTTCCCTCATAGTATCCCATCCCATCCCATCCCAACCCATCCAATCCCATCCTATCCCATCCCGTTGACCTATTCCATCCTATCCTATCCTATCCTATCCTATCCTATCCTATCCTATCCTATCCTATCCTACTTCGTACTTAAATTCCTGATTATCAATTTCATTTTTATTTTCATTCTCATTCTTATTTTTTATTTAATTTATATTCTTATCTTATTTTTAAATCAACCACAAGTTATCTTAACACCACAGGCTTTGATTTCCCACGAAAAATAAACAAAGTTTTTACAAAAAGTGTTAAAAGTCAGAAGAGTTTTACATTACAAGTTCCAAAATAGCAAACAAGGAAAGCTGAAGAACTTCCTGTTCTAATGATGGCAAACTTCCCTAACCAACATATTATCAAAACTATATATAATTCATGATATACACCGCTAAAATATACAGACGACTCCAAACTTATGCACTGTTCTGACTTGTTTAGTATTTTGAAGGAGTTGAATTCATTATCAAGTCTCAAACCCCTGTAGGAATCAAACAGACGTTCGTCTATTCACTCCTGTGCCTTTATTCTGATAGTACTGATAAATTTATAAATTGAGGCATAATCCTGTCCTGTGAGACTCCATATCAAATATTAATATAATTTTGCTCTTCATTTTCTTTTTTTTTTAATTTGGCCGCGTACCGATCCGTGTAACACTCCACAAAGAGCTTTTCAATTTAGTTGGCGTGAATTGGACATATGAAATTTGCCTGATTTTTGAATTTTCATTTTTTATGATCATGTCAAAATTCGAATATTATCTCATCAATGTCAATTTTCAATTTTCGAATTCAAAAATCAAAAATTAAAATAAATTTTTAAAATGACTTTTCGAAATTTTGATTTTGTACTCTGAAAACGAACTTTGGAAAAATATCCTGTAGACAGGGGGAGGTGAAGATTAGGCGGACTGAGGGTAGGTGGGTCCACTTCCGCTTTCATCATCGTACAAATTGGTCGAAAATTCTTCCATGGTTTTCTCTCAAGGTTTACATGTTGTCATAACACCCTCCTTGGTGCCTCCCCTCCCTCTATGGTTTTTTTATTATTATTGTCGTTGTTAGTGGACCCACCTACCCTCAATCCGCCTAATCTTCACCTCCCCCTGTCTACAGGATATTTTTCCAAAGTTCGTTTTCAGAGNCATCCTATCCTAACCTAAACTAACCTATCCTTTTCGTTCCTTTCCTTTCTTAATAGGATCCTATCCCATCCCATTGACCCATCCTATCCTAACCTCAACTAACCTATCCTTTTCGTTTCTTTCTTTTCTTAATAGGATAGGAAAACGTTGAGTACGTAGTTAATTATAATCAATTATTGCGGGCACATTTACATGGATGTACTTAACTCATCTACTCCTCTTTCCTCCCTCCTATCTCTCCTCCATTAGAATGTAAGATCGACATTTCTGACGCACAACTCTCAACAAACACTGCCTTGCCTTCAATTAAATTTCTAATAAAGTCTTTTGAAAGGACTCAAAACTGTCTTCCAGAGCTAATGACAAATTTTGTGTTATGAAAAATATTCAGTTGTGTAGAAGTGGTAATGAAACGTCTACTTTCCTTTATTCAAGCTAGTGGTGTTATATCTGTATACTACAGCAATAGAGATAAGAGTCTTACACTGTTAAATTAATAATCACCAAGATGAATCCGAGAAATGTAAGAAGTGATAGAAGGGCGGCATTTCTTTTGAAGACCAGGATAAACATGCACATTGTTTAATCAAATAAATGTCTGGCATTCAATTCAAAATGACTTCATTTCAATATATGTTCATTATTAAGAATTGCTTTTCATATACTTCGAACAGCTGTGGTATTTAAGCAAAGCATCCCAACAAATTTTCTTGTCAAAACATTCTTGATGAAAAACTAGAAGCGTAAACAGTGTGGGGTTCATTTCAAATTGCTACCCAACCGGGTTTATATGTGGAATCCATTTCAAGCTCCAATAACAACCACTGTAATAAGTCCTGGCTTTACAGATAGCGATCTGTGATCATTTTAATTGCTTTAAGCTCAAAGACCTTGACAGACTTTGAAAGGCTTGTCAGTACCATTCGAATGCTCTAACTTCTGTCTCGCCCTTCTAGATGGTCTTTTGCTTCGACGTTTTCAATTTCACGATTTTGAGAGGCAAGTGAAAGATATTGGGGTCGTCCTCGCTTAGGTACGTATGTTATGTCTTAATACTGTAAGCCACTCTTTGTTATCAAGGACTTTATAAGTTTTTTTACCTTGTTTTGAAAACTCCTCCTTAAAGTTTAAATACTCTGATCCATTGTAATAGTCCGTTTCGTGCTATTTTATTCGAAAGTAAATATTACTGTGTAGCGATCTCTAGTGTCTTCGTGTCGCGAAAAACCATCTTGCTTTGGGCCGGTCGCGAATTTTCATTCAAATTGCGAGTATGTATGTTTTATTTTCTAGCTGTTTTCATTAGCCGATTCAGAGAGGAAAAGTTGTCTCTATTGACAAAAGAAATTGGTATGTGGAACTAAAATGCTACCAGTCTTTGGAAATGTTTGCTTTCAGCAAATTTCTATTCGCATGATTTCACTTTGGAGCAATGAAACTTAAATATAGTCGGCGATTTTCAGTTGTATGAAATAAACTCGAGTCGGTAGACATTTTAGCTTCATTATTCGTCTTTACTCATTATTGATTTTATCTTATTCGAGTTTTCCGGGTTTTTTTGATAAGCATTGAACTTATTAGTGTAGACTGCGAAAGTCCCTCTATTTCCCTTTCTCACTGTCCGTCTGTCTGTCCGTGTCGATTAGCCGAGGAAGATTGGTTACGAGTCAAAAGTCCCTGGGGGAGGTGGCTGGGGAGGGAAGGACGAAAGGGAAGACCAAGGAAAATTAGAGGGACTGCTCGCAGTCTATTATTAGTGCTGTAAGAAACTTTGCCTTGCGCGTCTCCCCTGGTGTCAAGGACGTAATGTTTTAATCATAGCCTACGTTCCTTGGCGGTCTGCGGCTCTATGCGACATGTTACCTGTCATTAATGTGCAGCATATTAATTCATTTAAACATTATTTATCATTATTAATTTATATATATATATATTTGACACTGTCGTTGTAATAAAGATGTTTGTATAAGTAGCAACGTAAAACGAACAAGGGTCCTTGAAGCTTCATTATCATTTGATGACGTAATTTCCTATATTTCGACGTACTATGTACATACATAGATATAAATATGAATATATATATGTTGGTCTGAAATATTCGGTCACATTTGATTCCGCTATTCTGCGAACTTCATGGGCAGGAAGAAAGCTTTATACTTTAGCGATTGAATCTAACATCGTACGTCTATCTATCTATCCTCAGTCCCGCAATTACAAGTAGAAATCCATCTAGTGATCACTTGATGTGGGCTATGGTTTCAACGCGCGAATAATGAGAACCAATGTGGGATAATCTTTTCAACTCTGAACACAAGGTAAGAACCGGATCACGAAATAGTTCTTTATTTACGACATTCAATCACTTCGGTCTCAACTGCCAATTTTCGCTTCAACGCACAGAAAAACATATACGACAGGTCAAAAATACATTTAAATCATTAGTAGCGTCTTTTTTAATATTTGTTTTTGTTGTTGTTGTTTTGTTTTTTTTCCTTCAGTTTTTCATTTGAATTAGTTTTAGAGTATGATGATTTTATAAGATTGAATTTTATGATATTTTAATGTAGCCTTATTCTTACCCTGCGAGCAGAGGTTTTTTCTGACCCCCAGCCCACGGAGGGTCAGAAAAGAACTTCTGCTAACTTCTCTAGTTATTCTAATTAGTCGCCATATTTCGAGTCGTTGTATGACCCTTCCCTTTCCCATCGTTAGCTACTTCTTCACCCTAACAAAGGACTAACATCTGAAAGCTTATAAAAGCTGCGTGGCATTCAAATCTCTTCGCTAACAGTTAAAGATTGTAAAGCGCATTGAGACGCACGCATAATGCGCTACATAAAAAAATTCCCATTTACTTAATTCCCATTCATTTATTTTATTTTGGTTTTTAAGTATGCATTTTTATTACATGGTGTTCAAGATCATTGCCATCTTTCATACAACGAACTGACTTTTATCGCGCCTATTTTACAATACTCCCTTGTTTACGAGGGAACAGTTTATAGTTATCTTAACAAAGCCGTTGCCCCTGTTTAATTTAGAATTTAGAAGAGTATTGATTTTTGCGGAGGGAAGAAAACCGGATAACCCGTAGGAAAAATTTCAACTCCCACTCAGAGGCGTCTAACTAGGAATTTTACTCGAACATGATGATCTGCGCGTTTTTTTATCCACTTAAGAAAGTAGTTCCCCAAAATGACGGACGCTTTTGCTGCGCTAACAAATTCTTGTATGAGTTTTACGGGCGATCGGTATTTCTCTGTCTCTCTTGATTCCAAATATTTTTCGTGCTAAATTCCAAATTGATATGTGAGTTATCCTTGCCCTACATAAGAAATATTTAGCAATGTATGAAAGAAATCATTCTCAATAGAATGACACCCATCAAAGGGGAAAGATTACGACCGATTGTTTTTGGTTAACTTGTTATAACGTTTCTCAACCATTATTTCGGTTTTTCATTGCTATCTTCGTAAAACAGATGTTTAGTAAATTTCAAAAATAGCCAAAATTAGAGAAATTGAAAGTTTGAAAACTGAAGTTACATAGGCAATTAAAACTAGTTGTCGTTCAATATTTGTACATTCACAGTAAGGCGGGATAAACCTTGATAATTAACATAGAGGACAGAAGGTTTTGGCTGTTTCTATTTATCCATCCTTTAGTTCTTTCTTTTACTGATAATTTTTCAATGTTCCTCTCTCTCTGTGTCTTCATTCTTTTTCTTATTTCTTCACTATTCCTCCATTCATTCATTTCACTGTTTCTATTCATCCATCCATCCATTCCCTCTTTCACTCTCCCACCTATCAAAGTAATACATCAATCTATATGTTTTTTAAATCATTTGCATTATCGTTGTCTCAGACCCAGGTCAAACGTCGAAAGATAACAAGGCAGTCTTCTTTGATGTCATTAAGTTCGGCTCATGTGAATTTCGACGCTTGACATGAGCCTTAGCAAGCAAAATGCAGATAAACTTTCTTTACAAATACCGGCATTGGGTCAAAAACATTTTTATTCGTTTAAAATGAACGACGGAAGTCGTTCCATCATCGTATAAGACATTCACGAATACCCTAGAGGCGAGAAGCATAAAAAGTCAATCTAACTTATTACTTGTTTATAGAGTTAGTGGGAGTAGAACATATCGTTAGTGACTCGACCAATCTCGTACCCAGAGCCTTTATTTCTTACTGCGCATGTTCGTCGAGCATCCTAACCATCGACTTGAACGATTGGCGCATGCGCTGTAGTCAAAGTATTCTAGACCAAAAATCAAGCGCGAATCCAAAACCACATTTTTAGCAAATAAAATCTACGCTTTTAGTATTTTAAGAGTGCTAAAATAGAGGCATAAATATATTTTTGGAAGCTGAAACTTTTAGACTTTTCGTATACGATGTATTAGTGTCTAGAGTCCAAAAACTAACGCCGGTTAAACTACTGTACTACAAAATAGTAAAGGCTTTACAGCAATGATTTTACTGCGCTATTCAGAAACAAAAACATGCGAACTCTGTGTATTCGAGTTTCACGCTGAAATTTGGTTTTTCGCTGCCGTCAATCAAGCCTAATCAGTCGGTACCTTTCGTATTTTTTCAGCGTGCAACTCGGATACACAGAAGTCACATGTTTATGAAAAGCGCTGTAAATTGTACGCCTAACCATTTTCCCCTCAGTATCGAAATCATAAAGGTTTTTTTTTTAATTTGTTACTTCAAATTATTCGGTGGCCAACTTTTAAACCGCTTTTATCCAAGAATCCATTATCTGATTGCAAATGAAAAATTACATGCCTTTTGGCATGTTTATTAATCGATACAGGAAATCCTTTCCGAAATAGTCGGATCACAAGATGTCATAAGGAAACACACGGCCATTTGAACTGAATGAAATGTGTTTTTGAACTAAATGAATTTTACGAATCCATTTCGATTTTAACAGGTTCTATCAACTTTTATAAAAATACTGGTCTACAATTAATTCAATTCCGTCTTTTCTTCTTTTCTCTGTTTTTCTCCTGAACATAAATTATCTAATATTTAATATTTAAGTCATAATTTATCTAGATTTTTGAGAAATTCTATCAACTTATAGAAAAGATATGGTCTTTCAATTCATTCAATTCCCTTTCCCCCTTGCACAAAAATATCTATAATTTTTCATTAAAATTAGTCTAGATTTTTGAGGAATAAAGACAAATTTTTAGAATGCTCGTTAGTACTTTGTCGACTAGTGCGAGTGAAATTTGTCTTTCTTTGTAGGAAATTTCAGTTCTTATTTGTCTTCTTTAGCTCGACCTGCTTAGAAGGTAGTTTATTTAGTATTAAACTAATCTAGAGTATGAATGAAATTTAATTAAATTCCATGAAAAACCGAAATTTTATCTTCAAGACACACATGTACTTTTCAAATTCAAATAAATAAAAATATGAAAATTCATATTATCCGAAAATTATTAGACTTTCAAGACTTTAAAGTTGAAAATACGGTTCGTTCATTTGCAAGCGATTTGCAAAACTGATCAAATGAAAGTGAATTGAGTGAAATGGCAACACGCTATAATTTATGTATATTTTAAAGACTATAATCTTCGAGTCGTAAGAAAAATGAAATGCAAAAGGAAAATGGACATAACAGAAATAATTTTAAAAAATCTATAATCACAAATATATGAAATTCTAAATTTATAAATTTCTATAACAATTGAGAAAGCTGAAATGAATTTAAAAATACGTTGCACGATATTATATTGAAAGTGTTAGCATCTAGTAATAACTTAAAGTCTAGTTTGTTGATAGTATTTTGTCTTGTTTGGGATAGTTTACTTGTCCTTGATAAGACTTGTGCTTCTAATATCATTTGGATGCAAACAGATAAGCAACGTCAAAATCTCGACTCAAAATTGCTTTATTTTCATACGCAAACCAGAATCGTTGCTATACGTGGGAAAGGAGAAAATTGAAGGTATAAAAATACTCTGTAGATCGTATATTTTTTCCTCGTCCTCTTTTCCCCAGAAAACCTAATTTTAAAATTTAAATCCTTCACTGAGACCATTTCGGAAGGAGGCAGGTGTAAATGCCACCTGATCGTTAAAATTATTTAATGAAAAAAAGATCGATAAGAGAATAGTGAAAATAGTGAAACTGAGAAAAAACTTCATGGGCAATTTTTAACGAAGAGCTTTTAACGTGGATGCTATTTTATTCAAAAAGACCTGAAAGTACCTTAGAAAATAAAACTGATTGCTGAACTCGATATATCAAATAAAAGACGGTCTGTAGCTTCGTTTGATGGACAAGACTATTCTCTCTTGCCATTAGGCAAATAGTATTGTTTGTTTTAGTCATATCCATTCACATGTCTACTGCTTAACCCTGTACGACTCGGGGAAGCTACAACAAGTGTTCACAGTCTGCTCATTTGACTTTACAGGCCGTTGGAATTGCCTCTAGATTACTAAGCCGCTGATAAAGAATTCATTTGGCTATTTATCGCTTATATATTGTAAGTATTTATAGCAGGACTGGTTTATAATTCACGTATAAATTCTTATTTATTTTATGATGATCTCTCACGCCTTGTCAGGCTTTAAATTCAGTTTTAAATTATGAGAGAGATTTTTAGCGTCTCTTTCTATCTATCATTCCTCTCATGTTATTACTTATTCTATGTTTTTTTTACACCCAGATATCAATGAAATTTAGTCTTCAATTTTTGAATCCTTTTAATATATTCCTTCGAAGTTTTAATTATTATCTTTTCTATTTTCTATCAACTTTTGGGGTTCTTGTTTCTGTTGTGGGCTTAACGTTTCTGAAAAAAAATTCTATCTATCTTTCTTTCTTTCTTTCTTTCTTTCTTTCTTTCTTTCTTTCTTNACAATGTTTTGAATGAAATCTCCAATAAACAGAACCTCAAAGAGAAATAATTTACACTTCCGGTTGACGTCGCCGTCGTAGATCTTGCAAATCTTGAAGTCGCAATTGTCTGATGGGGAACCGTGGAAAAAAAACCGAAACTTACTTGGAGAGAAAGCTGGTTTTTCAGAAAATGCTTTGTCAATCTTAGAAACCAAGTCATCCATTGCTTTAGCCTCTTGGACCTCCTCTGCAAATTTAAGTGAGGATCTGAAAACAATAAATCGATAATTAATAATAATTATCAAGAGAATACGTCTACCCATGACGTCACTACAATCTGACCAATCAGGAAGCTCATGCTAAAAATAGCTCAGGCTTGCACGCGGAGCTAAAAATAGATTTTTAAAAAACTTTCATAGGGCAGGTAGATGTGCTCTCTTACTTCATTTACTCTTGTAATTATTTATTCTCCTTTAATTCAGTTTATTTATCACAACGAATCATTCTATCCCTCGCTTTATAAGTTATTTACTTTGCATCCATTCTTTCATTCTCGCTACTTTGTTAATTTTTTCAGTTCTCTACTTATTCTTTTCCCTTTTCTTCGCTTCCTTTTTCTTTAATTTCTTTTTCTGTCCTTCCTTAACCTTTTCTTTTCTTTTCTTTCTTTCTTTTTTTCTTTCTTTTCTTTCTTTTCTTCTTCCTTTTCTTTCTTTTCTTCTTTCTATATTTCTTTCGATTTTCTGCGCGACATACAAGAAACCAATCAAAGAGAAGCTTTACCGACTTCAACAAAAATCGAACAATACGGCTAAAAAACAAAGAAAAAAAAACAACAAATAAACTATACGGCAATACCAAGTGAAAATAATCCAAGTTAAGAACTTTAATAGTCCATAAAGACATTTCATACATATAAACGGGAAATATCATCTCTCGTTACACCGGCGTTTGTAGTTCTCATAACAAAAGATTAAAATTATTTGTAAGTAGTGGTATTATTCTCTCAACTGTAGAACCACATGCTTGAGTCTGTCTTGTAAGTCTGTTATAAGTAAACCATCTAATCCGGCGTGTTTTTTACTACACGAAATGACCTGACAAAACGCAGCACTGACTGCTGATGGAATGAATATTTGAATTTGATTTCAAGTACAGTGAGAGGAATATCCCCAGCACAATATATCAAGAATGGAACAGTTTAAGTGAGAGCTAAAATATAAAATAATATTAATTCTTTTTGTTGCTGTTGTAATTGTCACCCCGTAAAAATAGGAATCTTGATGGCATTAAATTACAATTTATGTGAAAAAGACAGTTTTACTTTCTACACAAAAAATATAGTAGGAGGGATCCATATTGAAGTGCTATGAAGTGTTTTGAATTGCATGAGATGAGGGAGAGAGTTGAAGTGCACCGTCAGCTTTCTGGAGAAGTCAGTACTGATTCATGTGAAGGTTCGACCTCATAAGTCTTCCCGCTTTTTAATGCATTTGTACTTCGATTTTCGATGAATCAGTCAAGTTATTGCTGCCGTTGTTATTGTTGCTTTGTGAGATGGTGTAGTTGTTGTTGTTGTTGTTGATGTAACTATTGTTGTTTATGGTTGCTGCTGCTGTTTGCTCTTGTTGATGTTGCTGTCGTTAGTGATGTTAGTGATGTTGTTGCTCTTGCTGTTGCTATTGTTGCTGTTGCTGTTGTTGCTGTTGCTGTTGCTGCTTCGTTCAAATTTCAAGCAGCTTGCACACACAAAGCAAGTTTTAGTTTTTAAATACTACTGTCATTACATCTAAATAAAAAAACAAAATCGTTATGTAAATCATAACATGTTCCTCAAGATAATACAATATTTAGAAATCCTTGCCAAAGACAAACAGTTGCCTTAGTAACTTCCAAGATCGCCAGCTGCGACGAATAGATTGTTTAATATTTCATTATTAGTCGTTATATTTCATTTTCTCTCCCAGTGCAGCTATCAAGCAGCAATTTCCTAATTTTAATTTCACAAATTAAATGATTATCGTCAGATAGATCAAACCATGATTTGGATAAAGATTATACCATCATCAGTTAGAGCTTGACCGTTTTTGTCCGTTTTGGTCCAAGTACAAAATATTTCTATTTCTTTCCCGCCTTATATCGTAGAATACACTATCTTTATCAAGTGACAATTCCTCAAATCTTAGATTATATCCAAGATTATTATCGATAGAAACTATGTCCATTTTCTTTCCCTCCTTCCTTCATTTCGTTTCTCTACCCCCCCCCCCCCCCCCCCCCCCCCCCCGTCTTTTTCTTCCATTTATGAGTGACCGTTGTATTCGCTCTTTGTAGATAAGCTGGCTTTTCATTAATCACGCGTCATTATTTTCCGTATGGTCCCTCTCTGCGCTAATATATAATGGTAATAATCCTCGACAGTGTGAGGCTCTCAAAACACTTTTTCTCCTCTTACACCTTCTTTAAGAGTGATAAGTGTTTTTTTTCTTTTTTCATTAGGCTTTTTTTGTTCTCTATCAAGAGCAGTAATCCCTTATATATTTCAATTTTATCGAAACACCTTCGAAAAAAAAACCTTTATCTTGTACACTCTCTATATAAACCTATTTCAAAAACGTTGGTCCCAGATCTGGTAATGGAACATAATGAGAATAAACGGAGTTTTTGAGCTTTTATGTTTTCTGGCTAGATTTCAAAAAATCATGTTTCTAACTATGAGATTCATATTCCAATATTAAAGGAAACTAGGTTGTTCGACTGTGAATATATTACGAATTAAAGCGTTCTATCGTGTGTGTTTTCAGATTTCAGATCTTCGACCGACAACGTTTTTTGGAATAGGTGTATATATGTGTCCATGATATATACGAGCATTATCTTTGCTTCTCTTAACACCCAAATGCGCATGTTGTAGTTTGTTTGTTTTTCGGAACAAATCATGATAATTCTGTCCGCTTATTCTCGAACTGATCTGTAAATTTCATTCTTACCGCGCGTAAAAAATAAATAAAAACCCTAAAAGACAATTCTGAAGTGTCCCTAATGGATATATCCATAATCATAATTGAACGTCAAGCGGATTTCGTTCAAGAGTAAACTTCATTACAAACTGAACCTTCTCTTATTGAGTTAGCTGACTCCAGCAAATCTTTTAAGATCTTCATTCATGATAAGCCATCCTTTTTTTTATTTACTAGCAGCGCAATCCATGCCTATATCAAGGTTTTTATCTTGTACTATAAGGCAATACTCCAGAACTGTCAATCATTTGATTGAATCTGACATTATAAGTTTTACTCCTACACTATTCTCTTGTCATTTTTAATTTAATTTTGTCATATTTGCACAGGTGCTTCACACGAAGAACTACTATAAAATCGCTAGTGAGTGTGTGTGTATATATTAATTAGAACTCTAGCGGTTTTCGCTGTATACAGCTTTAGACAATTGTATAAATAGGTTTAATTATTTTGTACAGCTCTTTCAAGTTGAGTGGTTATTATCTTTTGGCCTGTAGCAAGTTAAAACGGAGCGTACCTTGTCCACGCGCACTGTCCGTGCTCTTGTTTGCCTGTTTGATCGTATTCAGATACTAAAAGTCGCGTAATCCGTTTTCCTTGTCAGGTAACATTTGTTTTGTTCGAAATTACGAATTTGCTAAAACAAGCTAAAATTGAGGAGAGGGTTTCTGCTCTTCAGTTTCCTTTTCTCCGCAAAACCCAACAAGCTAAATTCCAATTTGATCTCTAGGTCACGTGCCCTGACGTAGATCAGCTAAGATTTCGCAATACTCCATTTTACAGTTCATTTCAGCATTTCAGTGACCACGAATAATAGTTCCACAAGCCGACGTTGGAGTTGCCGCACATGATAAACTATTATTAATTCGTGGTCACTGAAGATGCTGAACTGAACTGTGAAAAGGAGTATGGTTTCATGGTCATATCGATAAAATTGATGTTTAATTTTATAATTATTTTTGAGTTCTAAAATCAGTCATTGTTATATTCCTCCAGAAAGCAGTTAATCTAATCAAGCTAATCTGATAATTACCCACACTATATACATCCTATTCTCTAGATAATATAACTGAATGCTTTTTCAACTTAGCGCGCTATAAAATGGATATAAATATCGATATTTATCATGATCACTTACTAATGTATTACATAAAGATATGAGCTATACTTACATCGGATCGATATCAGTGGAGAAGCCAAGCCACTTTGGTTGAATGAGATCTGAATCAAGGAAAGCATGAGAATTGATTTGATACGATTTTTATGTTTTTGGTTAAAATGCCTTGCACTGATTGATTTGTTACTTGGCTTTCGCTAGTTTTCTAGATTTGAGAACAAAGTATGGAGGAAAAGAAGAAGAAATAAGGGAAAAAAAAGAATGAATGGGATGGTGGGCGGGTGGGTGGACGGACGGACGGACGGACAGAGTATTTTGTATCCACTTTAGCGCTTAAGGTGACTCGACCCAATATTTTTGCACGAGCACTTACCAACTTTGAACCTTCCATGCCCTAAGAGATTGATTCCGATTTCGTAGCCACTAAGACACATATTTCTATACAATTTAATATTTATTCGAGGAGATCAGATCTCATATCGAGTGGTAATGACGTCACACCTGTTTGAACTTTGAGTCGAATTTTAGCCCTCAACCGCATTTTCTAGCGAAATGCTAAATGCTGCTGCTGTTGATGATCATAACGATGACAATAATGATGATGATGATGATGATGA